AGTGGAGCAGCCAGATCTTGAACCGGCTCCCATATGGGATGCCGGCGCTTCAGGCCAGGGCATTAACCTGCTGTGCCACAGCGCCACAGATAAATAATCATTTTTAAAAAGTACCTAGAATGGGACCAGTGTTGTGTCTTAACAGGTTAAGCTTCCCATATGGGTACCAGTTGGCATCCTGGATGCTCCACTTCTGGTCCAGCTCCCTGCTAATGGCCTGGGAAAAGCAGTCAAAGATGGCCCAAGTGCTTGGGCCCCTGCACTCAGGTGGGAAACCAAGATGAAGCTCCTGACTCCTGGCTTTAACCTGGCTCTGCCCTGGCCGTTGTGACCATTTGTGGAGTAAACTGGCAAATGGAAGTGCTCTCTCTGTATCTCCCTCTCTCTCTCTGTAACTCTGCCTTTCAAATAAATAAATAAATAAATAAATAAATAAATCTAAATAAGTCAGAGTTACACAGAGAGACGAGAGGCAGAGAGAGAAAGAGAGGTCTTCCATCCGCTGGTTCATTCCCCAATTGGCCGCAATGGTCAGAGCTGTGCCAATCCGAAGCAGGAGCCAGGAGCCAGGAGTGACTTAAGTCACTTTGCCACGTGGAGCCACAGAGGGCTTGCATAGTGCTTGAAGCAGAGATTGCTTACAAAAGCTGCCTCCAGAGGACATAGCCAGTGTGTGGGCAGGGACCAGGCCGCACTAGGAAAGGTGGAATCTGCCACCGAGGGAAGAGAGGATCCAGGCTGCGGACAGTGGAACTGCCCTCAAGCAGCCCTGGGATGTCGTCCAGAGGAGAATCCCCTTCTCAGGGGGCTCCTGCCGGGGTTGGGGGTAGATTAGCAGCCAGCAGGGAGCTTTTCTAGGCTGGTCTGCTCAGGGCAGGCAGGTTGCTTGGAAGTAGACCCCTGGCCGTTGGTGACTGTCCCTTCCCAGTGAGCACCTCTCCTGCTCCCAGGAACGAGGGCGCACCGTCTGAGTTCAGTGGTGCCCAAGTCCTGAGCATCCATCTCACAGCTTCTGCCCCATTCCTGGCACAGTTCCTGTCTTTCCCATGGTCCTGCTTGGCTCTGTCTCACTTACAAATTGGAGCTGGCGGCCCTCAGTTTATCCTTGAATTTGCCAGGTAGTTTTTTTCAGCAAAAGTTAATTTTGTGATATATTTATTTTCCTATTTTAGAAGTAAATTATCACTATATGTATCTGCACTTGACAAATGGTTTTATGTAAATACATAGTGGTATTGTATTTATTTTCTATAAAATAAACAAACATTAGGACCATAAAAAATAACAGATTGCTCAAGTCCTTTGTAATAACTGGTGCTAAATTCTGGTTATTTTTCTTTTTATCATCTTCCCCAGGCATGTGTACTTTTTTACCTAATTGGAATTACAGTGGTGCATATAACTTTTTTATTCTGCTTAAAAACCCTAAACCCTGTAATGTAAACTGTTAAATAAGTAAAACCATCAGAGGACATGGGATGATTAAGCTATTTAAGGAGCTTTACATCCTTTTAGGGGTACATGCCAGAAGTGGAAAAACAGCAAGAAACAGGATCAGGATTTTCCGTGGGGAAATCAAAGTGGTTAAATTAACCATGAAAGAGAATCAGTGTCACTACTGAAAGTGTTACAGATTACAGTAGAGAACATAATTTCCTCTGATTGCATTAGCAATTTTTTTATAGTCTTGTTACTTTTTGAAAAGGGTACATGTAAATTGGCATAAACATTTTGGAAAATAGTTTGGCGATACATATTGGGAGCTATAGTTTTTTAAGTAATTATATTTTTCCTTTATGAGTATTGTACATATTTTCTGTCTCGAGTGATGGTAGTTTTTTCTTTATTGTTACGTTGAACGTTGTCAACAATAAAGATAATACTATGGATCCTACTTATAGATCCTTTTAAAAATGTTTGTTCGTTTTTATTTATTTGAAAGGCAGAATGTTAGAGAGAGACCGACCTTCCATCTGCTGGCTCACTGCCCAGATGTGTGCAGCAGCCACAGCTGGGCCAAACCAAAGCCGGCAGCCAGGAATTCCATCCTGGTCTCTCACATGAGTGGCAAGAACTCAAGACTTGAGCCAGCACTTGCTGTTTCCCAGGAACATTAGCGGGAAGCTGGGTCAGAAGTGGAGGCAGAGATGCGACTGGATCCCAGGCACTCTGATGTGGGATATGGGTGTCCCAGGAGGCAGCTGAGCCTGCCATACCACAGCACCCGTCCCTGCAGTTCCCTTTTCCCAATCTGCTGCTCACTTTATTTTCTTCAAGTGTTAGAGTGTGTGTGTGTGTGTGTATGTGTGGGAGGGTGAGGGTGTGTGTGTGTGTGTGTGTGTGTGTGTATTGAATGCAGTTTGCTTATTGATCTGTCCCTTTGTGATTTTTTTTTATGGCTCCTGGTTTTGGAAAGTCATCCTCACTTCAGAGATTGTGTGAATATTCAGTGAACCTTTTCTGCTTGATTAAAAAATATTTGAAGTGTAATTCTGTCTAGAATTACTGTGATGTGTAGCTGGTTGAATTCTCTCTTTTGTTCTCCCCAAATTAAGCTGTCATTCTGACATCTGTTAATTAATTTCTTCCTCCTCTAATTTATTTGTGAGACCATCGTTAGCATTTATTAAATTATGACATTTCATTTCTGGACTATGTGTTTTCTGTGATCTGTCTTTTCTGTTTTCCTCTGTTAGAAGTACTGTAGCTTGGTAAGAGAGGTTATAACATCAACTTCTTTTTGTAGAAGATCATGTTTGCTTATTTCCCTGATTGAACTTTTACACCTTTTAACCCAGCTACAAAAAAACCTTTCAGAGAATTCAGGAATCCCTGAAAGGAATTACATGAAACTATATATAAGTTAATTTCTTTAAAAAAGCAACATCACTTCAATAGTTTGACTTGTCATCAATGAGCATGTCATATATCTTCACATACAAATCTATTTTTTAAAGACTTATTTAAAAAAAAATTTTTAAATCCATACTTTTTTTTAAAGATTTATTTATTTATTTGAGCTGCCTTTTAAATCCTAATTTTAGCATAGGGCAATTCAGTTGTGTACCACTGTATATTTTGCAAAGCATTCTGAATTACAGAGATTCGCTTGTAAACCATTGTTTTTAGTATGCCCAGTGATAAAATTGTCATTGTCTGACTCCAAAGCCCACGATGATCAACAGGAAAGCAGATACTGTAAAGTGGTTTGTGAATTTTAAAAGTGCAAAATAAAGCAACTGAGTTTAAATAAAAAAAAAGATTTATTTATTTATTTGAAAAAATTATAGAGAGAGAAAGAGAGAGAGAGATGTCTTTCGTCCACTGGTTCACTCCCCAGTTGGCTGCAATGGCCAGAGCTGCGCTGTCTCTGTAAAGCCAGGAGCCAGGAGCTTCTTCTGGGTCTCCTACACGGGTGCAGGAGTCCAAGGACTTGGGCTGTCTTCTACTGCTTTCCCAAGCCACAGCAGAGAGCTGGATCGGAAGTGGAGCAGCCAGGTCTCGAACCAGTGCCCATATGGGATGCCGGCATTGCAGGTGGTAGCTTTACCCGCTACGCCACAGTGCTGGCCCCTAAAGATTTATTTATTTATTTGAAAAGAAGAGTTACAGAGAGGCAGAGGCAAAGGCAGAGAGAGAGAGAGGTTTTCCATCCGCTGGTTCACTCCCCAGATGGTCACAACGGCCAGTGCTGCGCTGATCTGAAGCCAGGAGCCAGGAGCTTCTTCTGGGTCTCCCACGTGGGTGCAGAGGCCCAAGCATTTGGGCCATCTTCCACTGCTTTCCCAGGCCATAGCAGAGAGCTGGATGGGAAGTGGAGTGTCGGTGCCCACATGGGATGCTGCACTGCAGGTGGCGGCTTCACCTGCTATGCCACAGCGCTGACCCCTACAAATCTATTTTTAAAACCATCTGTGACCTTTTCTACTTTTTCTCCATATTGGTCAGATATGCTTTCCATTATGATTTCTCTTTCCGTTACATTTTTATTACTGTTTGGATGAGGATCTGTAGAAAGTGTGCTTTGTCAGTGGCATACAGGAATATTGTTGACTTTGCAGGCTTATGTTGGAGGTCGTTTGGCTGAGTGTGTCTGACGCTGTGAGGGCTGCTGTGGGTCGTTTCGCATGTGTGCTTTCAGCATCTGTGCTTTCTCTTTCATTGCCACGGCTTTGAAGACCACACTCAGGGGATCTTGGGGCTGAAGCCTCTTTGTTCTGCTCCTAGTTTAAAGGGAAAGCCGCTGACACTGCCTCGCGCTTGCTGTGGTGTGTGCCGGGAGACCTGTCTACTGGTGCCGTCCACAGCCACCACAGCAGAAACTAAGCACCCTGCGCCTCGTCATGTGGACGTGGGGCTCTTTCTACACTCCTCAGTTTGCACAGGCCGTGGTGAATAGTGCCAACGCGGACGTGGCTGTGGCTGTGGCTATGGACTGTGGACAGCTGTTTTCATTTCTCTTGGGAGTGTGCCTCAGGGTGGGCGTGTGCCTCAGGGTGGGCGTGCTGGGTGGTGAGGGACAGCGTTTAGGCCTGTGAGGAGTGGCCACCGTGTCTGCAAGTGGCTTTCTGCCGTGTCTGGCACGAGGCTTGCCTTCAGCGTATAGGCCTGGGAAGGTCACACCACCCAGTCGTGTGGATTGCCTGCTTTCAGAGACAGCCGTTGTAGAGCAAGTGCTCTGTGGCCTGTCGCCTCTCTATGTAGTCTGAGGATTTCCAAAGGGGCTGTGGCTTCAGCAGGGCCTCCCCCTCGTGAATGCTGATGGTCCTGGTGCCGGCAGGGTTCCACCCTCTGCACCCTGGCTGGTAGTAACAGAGAGGGTGCTGGAATAAATCCTGAGGTTCAGGTGCAGGGGAACAGCAGGTGTGAGGTATTGCTGATGAGGAAGGTTCCTGAACGAGGGCGGGAGAACAAGGGGGCTGGGGTCCTGGGGGTGCTGGGGTGTGTGGCTGGGTGGCTGTGCCGAGTAACCCTGGTCTCCCTGTGTCCTCGGCCTGCAGACCTGGCGGAGTGCAAGCTGGTCTCCTTCCCCATTGGCATCTACAAGGTCTTGCGGAATGTCTCTGACCAGATCCACCTCATCACGCTGGCTAACAACGAGCTCAAGTCCCTCACCAGCAAGTTCATGACCACGTTCAGTCAGCTCCGAGGTAGGACCCGGTCAGCTCACACCGTGGGGGGCATGGCCACTTCAGGCTCTGACAGTCCTCTGGGAGGGTTGTCGCTGGGGCAGCTGGAAGCAGTAACACATTTCTAGGAGCAGGCTTTCGGAGGCTGGAAATCTGTAGGTCATTTGTGCCTGACCCAGGGCCAAGGTATGGGTCCTGGCGTGATTCTCTGTTCAGAACAGGTGAGTGAAGCTTTTAGGCCCTGAGACCCAGGAGTAGTTATACCTCACTAGCTTTGAACGCATGTGCTTCTCACCCCCTAGTCCATTTCTCCTGTGCTGCTGCCTTCTTAGTACCGCAGTGACATGTGCCACGAATGCTGGCATTTTCTTTCTGGGTCCATGCAGAGCAAGTGGATGGGGGCATGTGGCAGGGAGGAAGCCAGCAGAGAGGCACCATAGAGTCCCTGAAGTGGCTCCTCTGGATGGTCGGGCAGGTGCATTGCAGTGCCCACCCCTCTCTGGACAGCAGCCCCTCCGTCCTTCTTCAGGAGTTCCCTGCTGCTCAGTCACCTGTGGATGGAGTTGCAGCCTGGGTGCTGTGTGTTTGCTGACTGGTGGGCTGGGAGAATTGTGAGGGCACAAGAAGCCTTGGGGAGGCCCTGCCTACCTTCTGGAATTCTCTGTTGGATGTCCAACCCTGTTAGAGTGAGAACTACAGAAAATACTGATGGTACACAAGCCCCTGCAGAAGCCTGTCTCGTGCCGCTGGTTTGGATGTGGACAGGCTTCCCAGGAGGGAGAGGGAAGCCTGAGTGGGCCAGTGTGGTCCAGCGATGGGAAGTAGCTTGTACACCGGCCTGGGGGGCTTCGGGCAGCACCTGGAAAGGCCACTGCCAAGGTGCAAGCAGAAGGCCCAGGAGGAGGGACTGGTCTGTGCTGCTGTTCAAATGGCTCCCACAGAGTTTATGGCATTTGTGCCTGGCAAGCTACAGCATGTGTGCCTGGGTGGGGGCCCTGGGGTGAGACCTGTTCCCTCAGAGGTGCCAGTGGGTGTTTGGGCCGCATCCACCCCTCCCAGCTTCCTTTTCCTGGCACTGCTTCCTTGCACGGGAAGAGAGCTGCTGGCTAGCAGGTCCCTTGAGCCAGTAGCTCTGGTCCCTCCCTGGTTGAAGTTAGAGTCAGCTGAATAGTAATGTCTGGGTGTGCACATGAGCTCATGGCCACTCAGACTTGGGTCATCTTTAAGTGATTCCAGCCCCTTGGTGCCCTTCATCCTCCTTATGGGAGGAAAAGGCAAGGCCTGAGGGAGCCCAGGGTATAAGAGGGATGGGTCTACAGGTGGCTCTGTGAGAGTGGGTCCTATTGTCCAGCTGTGGCTCTTCTTGTCTGCTTGCACCCTCTTCTCCTGCCTCCCCACTTCCTCCCGAGCCACTCAGCTCTTTTTACTGAGTGCGTCCTGGGCCTGCCTGGCCAGAGGTGTGTGAGACCCACCTGTTCAGATCAAAAGGGCTCTCAAAAAGAGGAACACAAAGGCTGGGGCTGGGTGTTTGACCCAGGGCTAAGACATGAGTTTCGGTGCCCACAGCCCACATCCGAGTGCCCGGATTGCATTCTCAGCTCCCGCTCCTGCTCCTGCAGACCCTGGAAGGCACAGATGTTGATTCAGGTGGGCACATTCCTGCTCCCTGGAGACCTGGATTGGGTTCCTGGCTCCTGGCTTCTTCCCCAGCCAGAGGCCATTGCAGGCATTTCCAGAGTGAAGCAGCAGATCGGATCTCTCTCCCACCCCAGTCGCTGTGCTTCTCAAGTTAAATAAATAAATAATAAGCAAGATGACTTCTTCTGAGCTTGTGTATAGCAAGGGCACTAGGCACCATCACTTGTTCTTTAGCTGAGTCTCAGGGCGGGCAGAGGAGTGGGAAAGCTTTGTAGTACAAAAAAGCAAGATTTCAGGTGCTCTCTGATTGGCAGCTGTTGAGAGAGAAGGAAGCTGCAGGCAGATAACTAGGAGCAGGGCATCTGATGGGATTCTTTAGGGGTGCACACTTGACTTTAGCTGGAAATGAGGACAAAAATCAGGGAGGCTCTCAGTTAAACAGCCTGATCCTGGCTGTTTGAAGCCAATTATTATGGAGGTGATTTTTTGGCTTCCTAGCCTGTTGCTAAAGATAGCTGACTTCCTATGCATCTGAGCTGGAGCCAGTCTGACTCTGGCTTCCTGGGCTGGCTATTGTAGACAGTGGTTTGTGTCCAGGCAGGTTGCTGCGGGTTGGGGTTGAGAGTTCCAATTTTCTGTGTGGTCTGGCTATTGCCTGCCCTTGTCTCTCATACCCCTGCCTTTCAGCTCAATTCAAAGGATTCTCACAGGTGCCTACTCTGGCATGACCATGGGGATGACGTGAGAGCCCACGTCCACAGCCACTGGGGCTCAGCTGTCCCTGGCTCCCGGCCCGTTCCTCACATCATCTCATTTCATTCTTGTTGCACCAGTATCACTTGGAGATGATGGGAAAGCTAGGAGCTAGGCATGGTCCTCAGGGAGGCAGGTGGATGAACAGATGGACCTGTTAGAATGTGGGGCCAGCGTCATGGTGTAGCTGGTAAAGCCGATGTCTGCAGTGCCAGCATCCCCTATGGGTGCTGTTTCATGTCTGGCTGCTCCACTTCCGATGCAGCTCCCTGCTAATGGCCTGGGAAAGCAGCAGAAGACAGCCCAAGTACCAACATACCTTTACCCACGTGGGAGAACTGGAGGAAGCTCCTGCCTCCTGGCTTTGGCCTGCCCAGCTCTAGCTGTTGCAACCATTTTGGAAGTGAACCAGAGGATGGAAGATCTCTCTCTCTCTCTCTCTCTCTCTCTTTTTTTTTTTTTTTTTTTTTTTTTTTTTGACAGGCAGAGTGGACAGTGAGAGAGAGAGACAGAGAGAAAGGTCTTCCTTTTGCCGTTGGTTCACCCTCCAATGGCCGCCGCGGCTGGTGTGCTGCGGCCGGCGCACCGCGCTGATCCGATGGCAGGAGCCAGGAGCCAGGTGCTTCTCCTGGTCTCCCATGGGGTGCAGGGCCCAAGCACCTGGGCCATCCTCCACTGCACTCCCTGGCCACAGCAGAGGGCTGGCCTGGAAGAGGGGCAACCGGGACAGAATCCGGCGCCCCGACCGGGACTAGAACCCGGTGTGCCGGCGCCGCAAGGCGGAGGATTAGCCTAGTGAGCCGCGGCGCCGGCCAAGATATCTCTCTTTCTCTGTCTCTCCCTCTGTCTCTGTAGCTCTGTCTCTCAAATAAATAAATAAATAAATCTTTTTTTAAAATGTGGAAAATGTATATTATGAAAAAATTATGCATTTCAAAATATTTTTGTACCCAAATAAGCATACCTTTTAATTCTATTTTCTATGAACTTTTTTAAAAAAGATTTATTTATTTATTTGAAGAGTTACACACAGAAGGAAAGGCGGGAGAGAGAGAGAAAGGTCTTCCATCTGCTGGTTCAATCTCCAGTTGGCCGCAACCGCTGGAGCTGTGCGGATCCGAAGGCAGGAGCCAGGAGCTTCTTCCCAGTCTCCCATGGGGTGCAGGGCCCAAGCACTTGGGCCATCCTCCACTGCACTCCCTGGCCACAGCAGAGAGCTGGCCTGGAAGAGGGGCAACCGGGACAGAATCCGGTGCCCTGACCGGGACTAGAACCCGGTGTGCCGGTGCCGCAAGGCGGAGGATTAGCCTAGTGAGCCGCGGCGCTGGCCTGGAACTTTGCTTTCATGTGCCCCGGACCTGGCTAAGAGTTGGCTTTCCCTCTGTCTACACCAAGGAGCAGACCTCATGCCCTCTCCTGGCTGCTCTGATCCCTGCGGGCACGGACGCCCTGTGCAGAGCGGCCGTGGTGCCAAGCGTGGGATTCGTGCCTGCTTGACTTTGCCTGTGGGAGAGCTTTCAGGCAGGACAGTGATTGCTCACGGGCACAGGGTCAGAGCCGGGGGCTGATGGGTCCCAGGTGGGGTGGGTGTTCCTGGAGCTGGCGTATTCTGTGGCAGACTGGCTGCGTAATTGCTTCAGGCCAGCCTCGTCCATCCCCTAATGGAATCAGCAGGCCACCTCTCTGCTGGCGCGAATCTCTGGTCTGGGCGGCAGCCTTGGCAGCCGTCCAAAGAGAAGGCCATTGTGGGAAGTCATCAGAGGAACCAAGGGAAGGGAGAGGTCCATTGAACAGACACCGGAAACCGCAGTTCAGTGAGGGTAACAAATAAGGAAATGCCACGGCTGCAGCCGCTCTCAGGCCAGGACGCCTTGGCAGTGGATGGAATGGAGCCTCGTCCCACAGCCGTGACCATCCTGGGAGCCCCACGGTGCTCAGCTGTGAACCCTGGCAGAAGGGAGTGGAAAGGAACCATTGCAGTCCTACTGTGGAACTCTGGGACTGTGGACCTCAGTCCTCTCTGCCCTAGAGCCTGGGCACAGGGCCTGGAGGCTGGGACCCCTGTGTGAGAAGCAAAGCCGGGCGTAGAGGTAGCTGTTTGGTCGGGGGCTCAGTCAGGTGGCAGGGGCTGTGGCCATAGCCTCATTCTTCCTTGGAAAGGGAGACAACAAGGAAGCCTCCAGTGAATAAAAGTGGTCCCCATCAGCTCTGCTGGTCTTGTTTGCCTTCTCCATTTGAGAAATGAGGGGACATCTACTCCATAGAGATTCCTTGAGCTTGAAGATAAAGCACAGCAGGTCTCCTGGGTAGGCTTTGACCCATAGAAGTTACCTGAGGAATGGGGTTCTGTGTGGTAGTAACACTGTGGAGCTGGGTCGTGGCCATGAGGCCACTCCAGCCAGGAAATCTGACCCTGCACAGGAGTTTCAGAGAGAATGGAATGGGAGCGATGCCTAAGTTTAAGCTTTCATGGTCAGGAAGGCTGAGCCCCAGATGGGAGAAGTGGCTTTGTCTGACCCACCTCCAGGCAGAGACCGGCAAGCCCTGAGCTCAGGTCCCTGCCTGCATCCATGTTTGGGTTGTTAGCTGTGGAAGCAGGTGCTGTGGTCGCTGAAAGTGTGGTCAGTGCC